TCTCTCTCTCTCTCTCTCTCTCTCTCTCTCTCTCTCTCTCTCTCTCTGCACGTGTGCATGTGTGTGTGTGTGTGTGTGTGTGTGTGTGTGCCATATGTGTACATGTTCCCAAGGAGGCCAGAGGAGGGCTTGTTGTGAGCTGCTCCACCTGAGTACTGGAAACCAAACTCAGGTCCTCTGGAAGAGCAGCAAGTGCTCTCTCAACTGCTGAACCTTCTCTCCAGTCCCCGCTTAGAAGTGTTTTTAATTAGCACTCACAGTATCTTCATTTTCAAACAAAATTAGGCTTTTAAAAAAAATTCTCCCCCTACCCTATCCATCATGTCCATCTGTATTTTTCTGACAGTTTTTTTTCTCGATCTCCACACGAGTCTCCATTTCAGCCTCTTGTATCATGTACCAGTGTTGCTTACAAATGGGGTTCCCCCCTTTCCTGGGCTTGGATAGCTGTATTTTGGGATTTCTGATTCTCCTGGTTCTTTTTTTTTTTTTGTCATTTCATAGGTAGAACCCCTGCGAATGTCATTGACCTTGGTGGCTCTGGGGACTCCTGGAAGAGAGCTATAGCATTCACTGTGCCCCTCTCTCCCTGAGGGTGGGGTACACTTTCCCTTCCACTAGGCTTTTGGTTATCATCCACCCTTAGCTCTGCAAACAAATGAGGTCTGCACTCTCTGCCCAGGTTGACTAGAACATCTGAAAATCAATAAACAACATTTACATGATTGTGGCTGTGCCTGCGTGCTCCCTGCTGACTGGCTTTGATTGCAGTTTTCCCAATTCTTCGATCCCCAGGCCACCCTAATGAGGATGCTCCTGGATCCAGGTCTCAGTGTCAGCCCTCCTAGCCCGGGAGAAAAGGTTGGACTTTTTTTTTTTTAATTGACTCTGATCTGAGTCTTGTAGACTACCTGTGTGTCTAGGGTAAGCAGGAGGCAGGTTTGGACAGAGGAAGGGACATTGTGACCTGCAGAGGCACAGGAGGGAGTATCCTGAGGCCATAGAGCCCTGAGTTGTGGAGTGGGAGGGAGGACAGAAGACCTTCACCACCTCCTCCAGCAGCGCTGCCCAGGAGAAGCCTGGATGGTACACACCACCAAGCACCTGCGTGGCAGCTCTGAAGGGGCTGAGGAGCCTAGCAAGGAGCATTATTGAAAGGCCAGGAATGATGACCCCAGACTCTCCCTTTCCTCTCTTTCTCTCACCCCACCTTCTCTCTTCCTTCCTTTCCCCCCTTTCTTCTAGTCTCTCTCCTCCCTTCCTGGTGGTTTTGTTTTGTTCTTTGTTTTTTGTTTTGGATACAAGGTCTCACTATGCAGCAATCCTGCTTCTACTTTCCAAGTGCTGAGATTTCAGGCCCGAGATTGCCTGGCATGCTTTTCTGTGTGTAGTGTCCCCTTCGTTGCCTTTCCTTCTGCAAAGACAGGATCTCATCCACCAGATTCCCAGCATGACCCATGTCTCAAAGCATCTTAGGGCCCTGCTTACTGGTTCTGTCCTGCCTTCTTAAGTGGGGATCTTCTCTTCTGATTTCCCAGCACATTTACAAGCCCAAGAACAAGAAGGCTGGGGCACAGGGCACCTGTGAACTACAGTAGGAGGCACACTGGAGAAAGTCCTGTTGTCACTATACCCAAAGATGAGGAAAGGACAATGGAAGTGTTTTGTTTGTTTGTTTGTTTGTTTGTTTTTTCTTGCTCACTAGTGAAGAGGGTGTGATGGGGGAGTGGCAGAGATGTAGCCAGCTACTCATCCGGGGCTCTGGTGCTTGTCTGGGCTTCTTTAAGTGCTCTGGAAACAGTCTTCTATGAAGTCCTGGCTAGAGGGATTTTGAGGGGTGGGTATGTCCCACAGGTAGCCTTCCTTTTACAGAATCTAGCCAGAGGGTGCAGTTTCTGAGAGGCCAGCAGGGGGACACCAGACAACAAGCAGCTTGAGGTGCTTGGGGGGTCTGATGCCATTCATTCTCTACCTCCCTTGACCACCCCTGATGCCTGCAGAGTGGTCACAGCCAAGAGGACACTTAGAACCATAGAACAAAGATCACTGGAAGACTAGGGACCCAGGGACAGCCTGGTTCCCATTGGCTTTGTAAACTCTGGGAAACTGAGGCTTATTGGGCGGCCAGAATCAGCAGATCCCGGAGGAACACTCTGGTTTCCCACTGCTGACTGGAACTTTCTGTGCTACTCTGGGCTGCTCAGCAGCTGGTCATACTTGGAAAGGTGGATTAAAAAGGGAGAAAAATGTAAAACTTACACAATGAAGAGAATCAGCCTATCAGGAGCCTTTGCATGGGAACAGTTAGAAAGGCCAAGACTTATGTGGGTTCCTCAGCCATGCTCCCTCTGAGAGTCAACTGCTTAGTCAGGGCATTTGGGCCAGGTGTGAGCCACGGTTTGAACTGTGTCCTACACTGTAGTGGGCGAAGATCCAGTGACCAAAGAGTGATGTGAGTGTCGGTGGGTTTCTCCCATCTTCTGCAGGTATCTTAGGCCTTATAGCTGCTGTACTATATACAGTGGTTATAACGACACAGCTCTCCTGGGTTCTGAGGACATAAGTCCTCCAATGGCTCAGCCTGTAATCTGTCTAGACTTTCTAGGGAGACTCTGTCTTGACTTTTCCAGCTTCTAGAGACCCCTGTGTTCCTCAACTTTTGGTCTCTTCCTCACATTCCAAGCCAGTTGGGGAGCATCTTCTAGTCTCTGTGTCCCTATGGTCTGTCACCATCTCTGTGCCTCTGACCATCCTGTCTCCCTCTTACGGGACATTTGGAATGATGCTGGGGCTACCCGGAAAGCCTAGCAGACGGTCTCTACCTTGGCACTCTTGCCTTGACCATACCTTCACAGTCTGTGGTACCATGTAAACCATATGCAGGCTCTGGAAATGGGGACTTGGTCATGACTGGGGGACATCACCCACCTCACCTCAGTTAGCTGATTGTCACCATCTAGTGTGCTCTGTGTCCTGAATACTCTCCCCCCCAGGGCCTTACCTGGTTTTGTAGCTGGAGGCACCATGTTGGATCTAACCCTGATCCGCTGATCTGTGAGTGGTAGCATCAGACTGTCTGTCTGGGAGCCATTTGGAGCTCTCCCTCCCACTCCCACCTCTTCCCTGAAGACAAGCACTCAGGCTTATTTCCCATGCCCTGAGTCTGTGCAGCTCCTGGCCTAATTTCGACCGCTCTGTTTCTTATGCTGTTCTCATTAGTGAGAGACTGTGATGAGCAAGGAATCTCACCTTCCCTCTCACCACCAATAAAAATATCATCTGAGGATAAACCTGAGTGTTTGTGTTTCCTCAGCGATGTCAAGGCTGTCGGCCCCTACTGATAGCACTTTTGCAGGGTAGAGGTGGTGTGTGTGTGTGTGTGTGTGACTGATATGTCTCCCCCAGTGAGAACCATGGGCACCCCTTGAAAAACTCATATCCATGCTGCCTGGTAAAAGTTACTAGTCCAGCTTGCTGCTGTGTAAAGGGGGAAACTGAGGCCCAGAAATGTGAGTCTAAGGTGGAAGCAAAAAGTCTGGCAGAACGTGGGGGCTGGGTATTTACTGGCATCTGGTCTGGTGTCATCATCTCTGTCAACCCACTCGTGATTTTTAGGTTTTTTTTTTTTTTTTTTTTTTTTTTTTTTTTTTTTTTTTTTTTTTT